TGTTCACTGAACCTTAACAACTATCAGTATAAATTAGGATTAGTTCTCATTTAGGTTTAGTTTACTTCAGTCCCTGAAGAAGGTAACTTTGTTACCGAAAAGTGCTTCGGACAACTACAGTGTCGTGTTTTGGCGTTGGGGTTTTGAGCTATTCTGTTTGTTCTACAACAACCGCCAAAGTTTTTCCAATCTTCATATTACGTTAAAACAGTAAAAAAACTTTTTGATGATGGAGTCGACGAAGTTTTCTTCTAAAGTTAAATCAAATAAAAAGTTAATATGTTCAGCGAAAAGCTGCAATAGCACTTCAGACATAAATCTTCACTCTTCATCTACATTAACTACTTTCCAATAAAAATTAACCGTTTTATATATGTAAAAAATATATTGGGAAAATTAGAGGAAAAAGGAAACTAATAGAAGCTTGGATGAAAACAGTAGGTATCAAAGAAGTGAATGATATTGCTTAAATCACCCAGAATCACCTCACCAATTATATAACGTGAATCAATTTTTAAATCCGAAGTTTGTAAAAAGTAGGCAGTAAACTTGACAGAATTTGAAGGCTAGCTTCCGGATTTGTTATTTCCGAATTTTATAATGTGATTGGCATTAGAAACACGCTCACCTTCAACGAAACTTCCTTTCCGAGGCTTTGTGTCAGCCCAATCACATATTGTGTCAATACGTTTTAGAATTGTAGTGCTAAGAGAAGCTTTTTGGGCGATTTTATTCTGAAAACTAGCAATAAAAAGGGCCCGTTTAGCATTGATTGTTATGGACTAACTAAGATTGAAAATGCTCCTTCTGATTTACTTTAAAGGAGATGATTTTGAAAGAGGCAATTTTCTCGGTCAAATCCTTCAAGCGTAACCAGTGTTGTTTTCTTCCTCTTTTTATCTGTTTGCGCAACCAAATGGAGCGCAGGGGCATATACATACATCCTTACTATCGCATATTGGTTATCCTGTTTTTTCTTCCTTTGCCCTCATGTTTGTAGTCTCACAACGCAACTTATCACGGTTTCGAGCTTTCGGCGCATTTCATTTATCTTCTTCACGGCTGACTGCTTTGCCACTACACAACCCCTACCATCACCACCGCACCACCAACCCCTTGCAGCCTGCTGTCGTGCCTTGTGCGTTTTGTGTGCCAGACTTTCAACGGTTTAGCAACCAACTCACATACAAATCCATCCCCCTTTTCCCTGTATTGTTGTACTAACCTTGAAAGATGACTGACGATTCGTTGTTTAGTTGATTCCTGATGAAAATCTCCCAGAGGAAGTTCAGCATTGTAATTTATTATTCCATAAGACCCGTTGATTCATTATTGCGGTTTTCAGACCTATATTTCCGCACATGTACCATCGAATTACCTTTTAAATTTAATTTCATCAGATGCTTTTGTGTTCAAACGGGATTTAAGCGATAGCCTTATTAGGGAGGGAATTATTTTAAGCTTTTTGTGTATGAATTATCGATAGTTTATACTTTTACATGATATTCCCTTTTATAATTAGTTATCAAAAGACAAATACGAAATATCATAAAATACTATATCGACAATATATTTTCCCTTTATTGCAATGTCTAAAAGATCAGAGCCAAAATAAGACTGTAAATAATATTATTGATGCAAAACTAACACAACTAACACAATTATAAGGAAGTGTTGCGTCTTAACCACTTGTTAAAACGCTGTATTAAAATACAGATTGTAGTTCGAATTAATTTTTATTTTTAGTGTAAGTACAAAGTTTTTTCCTTTTTTTTGTTACAAAGTCAACCGTCTTTATTGGAGTTCAATTTGAGTCTCTCCGAAAAACTTAAGTTAAAATGTATCCAGTACCGTCGCCACCCCTCACCCTCGGTTACTTAGTCAGGGTCACTTCGTGACGGTACGGTACGCTTTCTAAAAAACTACAACTTATAATTTATGACATGACCGATCACCCTCGGCATGCTGTTAAAAAATAGTCCCCTAAAAATTGTTCCTGCACTTTCTAAATTTACAATCTATTTACAGTTCTTTACAATTTCGACATTTCTCTTTCTAAGAAGAGGTCTCAACAGGAAGTATTAGACAGATAGGTTAGTAGGACATCTATTCAGACATGAAGGGTTAGTTAGAGACATATTAGAACCAGAAACAGAATTTAAGGGGGTAGGGACGGAGATAGACCTAACTAAATTAGATTGCTGTCCGCAAATTCGAGAAATGCGAAGATTCTCTCAATACAGTAAGAAGTAGAGGTACAGTTCCGACTACTTTTCGGGCTTCTTTAAAATAGATCTTTATAATCTGTTAAGGAACCTTATTTGTGATATGCCGACGCAGAGACTTTATGGCATAAACATTTTCATATTTTATTATACCTTTAGTATAAAGCTTATTGTTATTGGACTTGGAAATATTTCCGAAATCTACGGTCACGTAGGCAAATTCGCAGAAGCACAAATGAGGGTTTATCCCATGGTTAGTATATTGTGCNTTTAGTGTAAAGTTTATTGTTATTGGACTTAGAAATATTTCCGAAATCTACGGTCACATAGGCAAATTCGCAGAAGCACAAATGAGGGTTTATCCCATGGTTAGTATATTCTGCATTGGCATTAGTGTCAATAACCTCGTTATTGGGAGGGATAATTTGTCGATTTCGGAATCTAGTGTACAAAATTTTAAGTTTGATAGGAGAGTTCTTTTGTAGACTAGCTGAGAGTAACTAGACTTCAGTTATTTTCACAAGACACCAATAAAAATTCAATATTTATAATAAGTTAGAATAGGTCGTAGTTGTCAGTTGTACAATAAATTCGTTATATTTACAAGTCGGCGTTTCTATGGTACTTCGAGTTATATAGGTATGTGGTACAATTGTACAAAAAGTTCGAATCAATAATTTGAATATTTCGAACGTAAAAAAGATAATCTAAATGTCTTAATTTCAAACAAGTGCTTTGAAAAAATCTCTTAACTAGCAGCGAAACGTCGGCGTTACCTTTACTACAAGTGAAGATCACTCACTGTTTATATTACATATATGTGTATGGAATTAGAATTTGGTTCTTTAAACTAGAAAAACAATTTAAAATGTTATTTATAAAC